ATACGATCCAAGGATCACCATTATAAAATACGTCGCTCGAATAGACTTCGGCAGACGGACCAACAATAACGACGAGCTAGGAGCTAGAATATGACAGTCACATCTCGCTAGTCTTCATTATTTAATATAGTCATTTTGGACTTAGTAAATTTATTGTTTTTGTATTAATCAAAATAAAAGTATTCAATTTATAAAGAAAAAACAAACTCTTGTTCATTTATTCTCAACACCATCAAACGAACGTAGTCGGTTTGTTACAATATCATAAAAATTCATTAATGTGTGCAAATAATCTTAGTGCGGTTTTCAGTAATAAACAACCTGCTGTGGATGTAATGATTGACAACAATTTAAAGGCAATTATACAAAATAATAGAAATAAGATCAGACCAATTATTGAAACGATCATACTGTGTGGTCGCCAAGGAATTGCTACCAGAGGCCACAGAGATTCTGGAACAATTGATTTAACTGCTGAACCTACACAAAATGAGGGAAACTTTCGGCCTTTACTAAGATACCTATAGAGCTTTAGGTGGTGATACAAAATTGGCTGAACATTTAAATGATAGTGCGAAAAATGCAACATATCTCAGTAGTAAGACGCAAAATGAAATTATTCAAATATGTGGTAAAATAATCCAAAGTAAAATTGTGAACAACAAGAATAAGTGCCAATGTTTTTCAGTACTTGCTGATGAGACAACGGATGTTGCAGGCATTGAGCAACTATCTCTTTCTGTTAGATATTTTGTTACAGAAAAAAAACAAATTATGGAAGAATTCTTAACATTAACCCCTGTACATGATGCTGCTGGAATAGGGTTAGCTGATAAGATATTACAAACCCTTGAAAGTTTATCATTGAATTTAAGTTATTTAAAGGGACAAGGGTATGATGGTGCAGCTTCAATGAGTGGGAAGTTTAATGGGGCGCAAGCACACATATTTAAAAAGTTCCCACTTTCCCCTTATATACACTGCAGCTCTCATAGTTTGAATTTAACAATATCATTTGCTTGTAATGTTAAAGCAATACGAAACACCATGGGAACAATTCAAGAAGTTTGCAATTTTTTCCGAACACCTAAAAGACAACATACTTTGACCGAATCCATGAAATTAAAACTACCTGAAGAAAAAGCAACTCGACTGAAAACTCTTTGTTCGACTAGATGGGTTGAAAGGCATGATTCAGTAATACTTTTCATTGAATTGTTTTCTGCAGTTATTGATGCTCTTGAAAAAATTAATGTATGGTTGAACATAGAAACAACATCTAAAGCAAATCGATATTTTGATGCCATAACAAAATCAGAATTTATAATATCCATTCATATTATTGGAAAAATATTTTCTATTAGTCTTCCTTTGAGCCGTCAATTGCAGACAGAGAATATAGATCTTGTTCAAGCTCTACAATTCGCAAGTTGTGTTGAAAGTACAATAAATTCCTACAGATATAACGCAATTGAAGAGTTTTCAAAAGAATTTCTAAAAACAAATAATTGGTGTAAGGAATTAAAATTAAACATCAGTTTTTGTAGATTGACAGTTGTTATACCTTTCTTAGATAGTTTTTTAACACAACTTCATGACAGATTTTTAAAACATAAAAATTTACTAAAAAACTTTAGTTGTCTTCTACCAGAGAAACTAAGTTCATCAATTTTAAATGATGGAGAGGATGAAATAATTAACTTAGTTAAGGCATATATGGTCGATATTGAAACTACCGAACTTGGAGCTATAGGAGAGTTGAAATTATGGAGAAAATATTGTACAAATCTTAAAAGTAAAAATGCAATTGACACATATCTTCAGTGTGATGAAAATGTTTTCTCCACAGTTCATAAACTATTAAAATACTTTATCACCCTGCCTGTAACTACAGCATCAGGAGAAAGATCATTTTCATCTTTAAAGCGTTTAAAAACATACCTTAGAAACACAACATCAGAAAATAGATTGAATGGTTTGGCGCTTCTAAATATACACCAAGTAATTAAAGTTACACCTGATAGTTAATGTTTTAAATTTATTATCAGCTAATGCCAGAAAATTAAACTTTAGACTAGATTAATATTTTTTTAAT